GTCATTGTAAAATGAGGGTGAAATCTCTGGATAGTGTCTTATCTATAAACTCATATGCCTTCCCAAAATTTACCCAATAACTTAATCTATTAAAACTAAAAATATATATATATATATATATATTAAAGGTAAAAGCAACCATCTATTATGATGGTAAAGAAAAGAAAGAATAAAGATATGTACGGTGAGCATCCGGGTGTGACGCTTGAACACATATCTAAGAATCCATCTCCAAAAGGTCCCGAAATTAGGGAAATAAATATAGAGATCAATATCTCTGGAGAAAAAATGCAAAATAATGTTGTGACATCTAGTGTGTATCCGTAGAGATCCGCCATTAAGTAAATTAATCAAAAGGGGTCCCAAAGATGACCCCTATTGATAATATTCTCGATGGTCAACATCTTGAAGAATTCTCCAAGAAATCCCATTGCTTTTCAACTATATTTTCTCGAACTGAGGAAGATTCTCGCCCGACCTTCATCAGTGCTGTTCTATCAGAAGACTTAGTAGAAATAAAATAACTGTGAATTCAAGGACTGCTTTGTCTGAAAATACGTTGAAATGTCTGGTTTATCCCCTTAATGTAGCAGTTCACAAATTGGTCATCAAATCAGATGCATCACCCGTTAAACAAGTTACATGGAGAATGAGATTGGAGAACATGTAATTATAGAAACAAAAAAACTCAGAGGCGGTCTTCATCCGAGAAGAAAAATATGCCTATTGGATCGCTAATATTGTCCCTGTCAAGAAGAAGAACGATCATATCTGTATCTACATCTATTTTAGGGACCTCAATAAGATGTGTCCAAAAGATGTCTTTCCGCTCTCAGCATTAAAACTTCTAGTTGACATCCATCCGACTAAGTTTGTGCAGCATGTTTTCTTCAAAGGAAAAAGATTAGGTTACTTCAATGAAAATATAGTCCTAGCAAAAAACATTCTTCTGCAAAATATGTTAAAGCTTTATTATTCAAAGAGGTTTATAAGGTTTACATATGAAATTGTTTGTCTGATATGTATCTCATGTACCTGTCAGAATTTAAATTTTCAAATATTAAGTCAACCAAGTGATTTGATGGCTGAATAAACGGAATTAATTGATTAATTGACTCTCAAATGTTGCAAAACATAGTGTGATAATATAAGATAAAATGCAATATAAACCATGACATGATGGTGTTTGAAATTTCCAACCAGCTTTCATTAAGTTCTTCAGGCCAAAAATAACAGATGTCAGAAAAAAATGTTAGACCGGTCCAGCCAATCTACACAGGACCGGCCCAGACACGAAACAGCGGAGAAAACTCTGCCTGTTGCGGACGCCGTGCGAGCCGCAGGTCCACGTGAGACATTTTAGGAAGGATTTTTGAGGGATTTGGGAGGAAAATTTGAATGTAGGGACTGTTTAGGGATTTCCTTTTGATTTGTATGCATTAAATAGTTTGTTTTCCTAGGGTTAGAGCATTTTGAATTTGGCTGAAATTTGAGGTCTCTTCAATTTCTTTTTGGGCTCTAGCGGCGTCTAGAGATTGGGAGAGAACGATCCTTCTCACCAATCGAGGATCAATTGTATCTTGCTATTTTCCGTTTTCCTTTCATCTAATAATACAAATCATCTACTGCTTTCATGGTTTTGGCGGACTTTTGTGAAGATTTCTTTCTGTTTTTCGAAGATTGATAGGAAATATTTGAGAACTTGTAGTGTTTCCTATCAAATTGGTATCAGAGCAAGCCTTGGGACCATTCGTGGGTTGATTTTGGCGAAGTTAGGTGCCTAATTTTTGGTCGAGAAGGGACAGTGTTTTTTTTTATAATCCAAATCCGGAATTTTTGGATACAAAAGTTCAGATCGAGATGGCAGCCAAGAAAGTTGATGCGCTAGAAGAAAGGCTTGAAGGGGAGAAGAACCAAATCAAGACAACGGTGGAGGAAATGATTTCCTCCAAGGAAGGACAAGTAGCCGATCTTCGAGACATGATGAAGAAAATGTTGGAAATCCACAACCAAATGAAGGCTTCCATGGAAAAAGAGGACGAAAAAAAAAACACAAATTCTGAAATTCATAGGGAGGACGATGAGGTGGAATCGTGGAGGGAGAAAGAAGGAAATCCTATATGGAGCCTTTCTATAGGGAGGATAGAGGAGGTAGGTATGGGGGAAAGCATGGGTATGGAGGGGCAGCGCAAAGGGGTGCTGATTGTGAACGTCGGGAGGGACATTATGGTCGCCGAGGTGCTGATTTTGAAGGAAGAGGAGGGGAATTTGAAGGGGGGTTTGGGCTATGGCAGGGTAAGGGAAAATCGGGAGACGTGAGGTGGGTCGAGCATTTGGGAGAGGGGAAGTTATGGAGGAATAAGGGGAAATGGTGGAGATCAGAAGGTGAGGATGTTGAATATACCTATATCTTCGAGGGGGAGGATGTGTATGGGTGGATCTATAAGGTGGAGATATACTTTGCCGTGAATGGGCTAACGGAGGAGGAGAAGCTGACAGCAACAAGCTTATGTTTGGAGGAGAAGGCACTGTCATGGTACCAATGGAGAGACCAGAGGAGACCTATCAGGGACTAGAGGGAATTCAAGGTATGCATAATAGAATATTTCCAAATCGATCGGGGAGGAGATTTCTATGAGCAGTTATTTGCTGTGGCACAGGAGGGATCAGTAACAGACTACCAGGAGCAGTTTGAGCACCTAGCCAGTAGGGTGCAGCGATTATCAGATACGATATTGGAGGAGAACTTTATGAAGGGGTTGAAGGCAGAGATCCGAGCAGCATTGAAGGTTTTGATGCCTCGTGACTTGGGGGAGGCCTTGAAGTTGGCCCAACTAAAGGAAAATCAGAAGAATCTAGAGAAAGGAGCCAGGAGCAATAGCTCAGGAGGCTCTTACAGGACGGCGACTACTCTTTTTGCATCCAAGGGGTCTGCATCAGGCAACATTAATAAGACCTCCATAGAGAAGTCAGTAAGAGGATGGAGTGGGGAAAATTTTTAGAGGTTGACAGAGAAGGAGATGCAGGAGAGGAGAACAAAAGGGTTGTGTTTCATATGCGACGAGAAGTATACGCCAGGATCAGTGCAAGGACTTCAGGTTCTCACCATCTATGATGACGATGAAATTGAAGAGGGAGGTGAGGGGGGTTAGAGGAAGAGATGGATGAGAAGTTGCATTTGGATATGGCCGAGGTTTCTTTGAATTCAGTAGAGGGGTTCACTTCGAATCATGATTTAAAATTGCGCAATATGAGGCTCGCCTTTGCGCAATTCCAGTAAAAAATGCCTCGATGCTTACGTCTCTAGTTTTTTTTATGAGGCTTGCGCCTCAACTTGGTTGAGGCCCGCGAAAGATAGAATTTTGAGTTGAATTATATTTCATGTTGTCTTATTATAGGGATATTTTAATTTCACTTAATATATTATGATATCTTATGTTTTATATTATTCACTCATTAGTCTATAAAAAAAATTATCATTTTATGTTTACGTAATCTTTTGATTTTGAGGCTTACACCTCAAAATGTCTTGAGGCTTACGCCTCGCCTCACGAATAAAAAACGCCTCAATACCCGAATACGCAATTTTAATCTTTGCTTCGAATCATACGATGAAGGTGAAGGGGGAAATAGCAAGCATGGAGGTGGTTGTTTTGATTGATAGTTGTGCTACCCATAATTTCATTTCAACTTAGTTCGTCAACCAACTAGGAGTGAAATTAGTGGATACCGGTTTTTATGGGGTGATGATGGGTACATGGAAGGTGGAGAAAGGCTAGGGGATATGTAGAGGAGTGGTGTTGACCATCTAGGGGATTCAGGTAAGGGAGGATTTTTTCCCACTAGAGTTAGGAAGTACTGATGTTATCTTGGGAATGAAATGGTTGCAAATTTGGGGGAAATCAAGGACAATTGGGGAGCACTCACAATGGAATTAATGGTGGATGAGAGAAAGGTGGTTATAAGGGGGGATGTAGGGCTATCCACAGCCATGGTATCACTTAAGATCATTGTTAGGAGCCTACAAGAGGTGGGGGAAGCTTATTGGGTGGGCTACACAAGCTGGATGTGATCATGATGGAGGAGGGAGGGGATGTTTCTCTTTCAAGGCAACCCCTACTTTAGCAATTTGGTAAGGATTTTCTACCACCTCAAGGATGGCCACCTCCACCAGAATACGAGCATATATCCACCTTGAGGACAACGTGGATCTTCGGGAGGGGAGTATTGTTAGACTGGTCCAGCCAGTCCATGCGGGACCGGCCCATACGAGAAATAGCGGAGAAAACTCCGCCTGTTGCGGACGCTGTGTGAGGGAAGTTTTAGGAAGGATTTTTGAGGGATTTGAGAGGGAAGTTTGAATGTAGGGACTGTCTAGGGTTTTCCTTTTGATTTTTATGCATTAAATAATTTGTTTTCCTAGGGTTAGAGCATTTTGAATTTCGCTGAAATTTGAGATATCTTCGATTTCTTTTTTGGGCTCTAACGGCGTCTAAAGATTGAGATAGAACGATCCTCTTCTGGAATCGAGGATCAATTGTATCGTGCTATTTTTCCATTTTCCTTTCATCAAATAATTCTCTGCCACTCTTAACTTAGTATTATGCTTCTCTTTTAAAGGCCAACATTCAGCACCATAAAGCATTGCAGGCCTCACTACCATCTTATAGAATTTTCCCTTAAGTTTTAGGGGTACATTTCTATCACATAACAAGCCTTAGGAAATATTTGAGAACTACAAGTGTTTCCTATCAAAAAAACCCCTCAGCATCACCAACCCCCTCCTTGACCCCACTTGCCATTTTCATGCATGGGTATTTCTAAAACTAACATAACGCTTGAATTTAAATATTTTTGTTAGATTTGTTTCTAGATTGTATACAATTAATAGAAACTCTTGATGTTTGTTTTTCACCATTTTATTCATTTTGATTTAAAGTCCCTTGAAAACGACCTTTAACAACTAAGACGCTTTTTTATATCAATTTCTTTCTTTGCAGGCAGGGTAATTCCAGAGAGCGTAATTTACAGTTATGGAACAGTTTTATTGGATCTTTTGAGCGGCAAGCATATCCCTCCAAGTCATGTACGTTACTCTAAAGTGCCATTTCCTTGGATGAAAATTTCTTTATGAAACAACGAGAGCATTTCTAACTCTCCTTTCATGACCTAGTCGGTGATTGCAAATAAATTGTTATTATCAATCTTTTTCATTCTACATTTTTTTTTGTATATTTAATGAAGTAGGATATTATAATACGATGCTGACATTTTCAATGATACATTACCAGGCATTAGATATAATAAGAGGGAAGAACATCTTAATGTTAATGGACTCGTCCTTGGAGGGACAGTATGCAAATGAAGATGCCACCAAACTTGTAGAACTTGCTTCAGAGTGCCTACAGTTTGAGGCTAAGGATCGACCAAATTCCAAGTTTCTCCTTTCTGCAGTTGAACCTCTTCAGAAACAGAAAGAGGTAAATGTGGTATTTGCTTCCTTCTGTTTCTGGAAGGATTTATTATTATTTATTTTGCTGAAGTGCTCTGTCATGATTTTAATTCAATTCTAGGTTGCTTCACTTGTTTTGATGGGTATATCAAAGGCCACTGTGGTATTACCAACAATGCTTTCTCCACTAGGAAAGGCTTGTGCAAGGATGGACCTAGCTGCAGTACATGATATTTTGCTTAAAGCAGGATATAAAGATGACGAAGGAGCTGAAAACGAGGTAGCTCTATTCTAAATGTTTTGGTTCAATTTTTATGATAATTAATTTTTTCCTGTTAGAAATGCTCTCCTTGAATGTGTTCTTTCCTGTGGAACATGATGAAAGAAATTTGTGAGTCTTTAGTATGTGCCTTGCATAATATAAAGTACTTAACCTATATTAGGGAAAATCATGACAAAAAATGTTAAATTATTTTTCGCTTATATTTCCATATAGCTGTAATCTTCCTCTTCGTAGTTCTTGTCATTATTTATTTATTTATTTATTATTTATTTTATTTTATTTTTTTCGTAGTTCTTTTCATGATTCAACTTGAAGGCTCTAATTAATAAAGCTGGAACGGTCGAATAGATATTGAAAATTTCATGCTTTAGCACTAATTACTATCAAAATAATTTGTTGCATAATTTTAATATATTGAAAAGGCCACTAATTTATAGAATTCTTTTCAAATCAAAATTGTAACACTTGTGTGAGATAAATTATAAATAAATTTCTAATAACAATGAGTTCAACTAAGTATCAATAAAATTGATGTAATATATTTAAAAGAAACAAAATCATTACTATATATATATATA